AACAGGACGCACCCGTACCAACAACAGCAACAACAACAACAGCAACAGCAGCAGGACTCTCCGTTAGCGCCACGACGTACATCCGTCACGGCGATGTTCCCATTGGACGGAGTTGCGTCCCTAGGCGGTGGACTGTTCCCTCACGCGGGCGCCCTTGATAGGGGATCTCTTCTAGCGGACCTGCACGATAGCTTTAAGCCGGAAACGTTGCACGGCCTGTTCGGCGCGGCGGGTCTCGGAGGACATCACCCGGGGAAAAAGCCAAAGAAACACAGAGGCGACGGTGACGCACCGCGCAGGTGGGGCGACCATGGGAGCCGAGGTTTGCCCGTTGGAAGACCAAAGGGTCAACACAGTGCGCCCAGAGGAGGACCACCTAGGTCGTGGACGAACGCGGAGCTAACTGAGGCGCTTCAACACGTGTGGAACAAGAAGATGACGACGTCGCAGGCAAGTAGGATCTTCGGCATCCCGTACAACAGTCTGCTGATGTACGTGCGAGGGAAATACGGGAAAAGTTTGAAGCTCGAGCAACTGAGGAGGGACTGTACGGGTGCGACCACCGGGGAAGTGGTAATGAACTCGCTGAACAATAACGTCAAGGCTGTCCAACCGCCTACGCAAATGACCCATCCTCTCGCCGGCCTACCGCCGCATCCAGGCGATGACGGGGGATTCCCTCATCATTCGTTGTTGGCCGGGAATCTGCCGCAGGGTTTCTTTCCCGATTTCGCCGCTGCTGCGTTCCCAGTGCCCGTTAGTATGGTGCATCTGCTACCACCCAGTGAACAGAAACCCTTCGAGTCGCCCGCGAATCCTGGTGGCGGTGCTGGCAGTGGTGACCTGTCCACGACGCGGAGTCGTTCGCCCTCGCCCGTCGATCATCATCATCATCATCACGAGTCGCTGCAGCCGCAACCGCCCCAGTCGGCGCCCGCGCTACTTCAGCAAAACGGCTCGGATTAAATGAGACGTCGTAGGTGCTCGTCATCCTCGTTGAAGGACCACAGACGCGTGGGCGTCCGACTCGACTAAAACGCTCCCTCGACACGCATACGAGAGACACGTCTACACCGAACAGAACACACCTAACCTACCCCCGATTTTTCCGCGATATTCTTCTCTTCTCGCAAGACTGACTATCACCGTTTACAAAAGGGCGAAACCTCGACGGACACACGACTCCGGCCTGCTCGATCCGCCACACGCTTAAGCCGCACGCTGTCACCGCGCTCCATTCCTTTTCTCTCTATGTTCCGACATCCTTTTTGTCCGTGTTTCGTCAGCAAAAATATTGACGTCGCCTCCTTTGTCCGTCGATCGCGAAACGCCAGACTCAGTCGAGCGTGCCGGCGAAACTCTTTCTAGCCGTCCCGTTTTCTTCGTCTCGACGCGCGGATTCTTCTTCTTCGGTTCAAATTAGTCACTCGAGCCCTCGACACGGGTTCAGTGGCTGGTTTAGTACGTGCTCATTGACGTAACTAGCATTTTTCTCTAGGATCAGGTTCTCTAGCTTAAGATGCGTTTAGACTAGTCAAGTGGCCAGGCAAGTACCTAAGTGCGAGCGAGAGGCTTGGCAGGATATCTTTTTCGCTCTTAGCTACTGACAAGATTAGTTACTTATCTAGTCTTAAGGCATCTTTAAGGCTTTTTTAAAAGAAATAACTGTCACCGGTGAGTAATCAGGTCCGCCCAGATAAGCGGTTACCAGATTACTTGAACTACTTGTTTAGATTCTGGTCACTTACCTGCCTTGTGTACGTAAATGCCTCTCTATTGAAAATGTTAACTCACGAGCTACATACTACATTTACACGATACATTTTACATCGTATACCACATACTCTACACTGCAGTCTATACTGTATGTCATACGAGCTACATTTGTTTGAACTTTACCATATTCTATGTTCATATCCACGATGACCTACCCATTTCATATAGAAAGTCTGTATTTTGAGAGATGCAGATTCTGGTTACGCCAATGTTCACTCCGTGACCTAACCTTAAAGCGAATCCCGCGTCGGCGAAGAAGATGGCGCTGCAAACACAGACTTTCGCCGGCGTCCAAGACTCGTAATCATCACTATAAATAGTTCCTGCTACAAAGAGCGATCATACCAAATAGTACAGTAAATTGGAGGAAAAGCTGATGCTCCGTTGCTTGAAATCGCAGCAGACCCCACTCGTCGAGAAAGTGACGTGCTATATAGAGAGACGCGCTTTCCGCACTCGAACATCCTCGTGGCCTGTGATGTACATGAGGTAAGATTGCAAGACTTGAACACAATAGTTTAAACGCAGATCGTTGAGATAACTATAATATGTTCTGACACGCACGCCCGGTGGCAGCGGGACAGCGTTTAAACAGGGATCGTTGTTGTTCGTTTGACAATATTGTTTTCTACTTTCGCCGACGTATTTTTGCGACGTATATACATATATGTACATAATATCAGTGCCGAGTATCGTTACACAGTTTATTGCCGATGTTGCCGTATCAGCTCGGATTAAATGAGACGTCGTAGGTGCTCGTCATCCTCGTTGAAGGACCACAGACGCGTGGGCGTCCGACTCGACTAAAACGCTCCCTCGACACGCATACGAGAGACACGTCTACACCGAACAGAACACACCTAACCTACCCCCGATTTTTCCGCGATATTCTTCTCTTCTCGCAAGACTGACTATCACCGTTTACAAAAGGGCGAAACCTCGACGGACACACGACTCCGGCCTGCTCGATCCGCCACACGCTTAAGCCGCACGCTGTCACCGCGCTCCATTCCTTTTCTCTCTATGTTCCGACATCCTTTTTGTCCGTGTTTCGTCAGCAAAAATATTGACGTCGCCTCCTTTGTCCGTCGATCGCGAAACGCCAGACTCAGTCGAGCGTGCCGGCGAAACTCTTTCTAGCCGTCCCGTTTTCTTCGTCTCGACGCGCGGATTCTTCTTCTTCGGTTCAAATTAGTCACTCGAGCCCTCGACACGGGTTCAGTGGCTGGTTTAGTACGTGCTCATTGACGTAACTAGCATTTTTCTCTAGGATCAGGTTCTCTAGCTTAAGATGCGTTTAGACTAGTCAAGTGGCCAGGCAAGTACCTAAGTGCGAGCGAGAGGCTTGGCAGGATATCTTTTTCGCTCTTAGCTACTGACAAGATTAGTTACTTATCTAGTCTTAAGGCATCTTTAAGGCTTTTTTAAAAGAAATAACTGTCACCGGTGAGTAATCAGGTCCGCCCAGATAAGCGGTTACCAGATTACTTGAACTACTTGTTTAGATTCTGGTCACTTACCTGCCTTGTGTACGTAAATGCCTCTCTATTGAAAATGTTAACTCACGAGCTACATACTACATTTACACGATACATTTTACATCGTATACCACATACTCTACACTGCAGTCTATACTGTATGTCATACGAGCTACATTTGTTTGAACTTTACCATATTCTATGTTCATATCCACGATGACCTACCCATTTCATATAGAAAGTCTGTATTTTGAGAGATGCAGATTCTGGTTACGCCAATGTTCACTCCGTGACCTAACCTTAAAGCGAATCCCGCGTCGGCGAAGAAGATGGCGCTGCAAACACAGACTTTCGCCGGCGTCCAAGACTCGTAATCATCACTATAAATAGTTCCTGCTACAAAGAGCGATCATACCAAATAGTACAGTAAATTGGAGGAAAAGCTGATGCTCCGTTGCTTGAAATCGCAGCAGACCCCACTCGTCGAGAAAGTGACGTGCTATATAGAGAGACGCGCTTTCCGCACTCGAACATCCTCGTGGCCTGTGATGTACATGAGGTAAGATTGCAAGACTTGAACACAATAGTTTAAACGCAGATCGTTGAGATAACTATAATATGTTCTGACACGCACGCCCGGTGGCAGCGGGACAGCGTTTAAACAGGGATCGTTGTTGTTCGTTTGACAATATTGTTTTCTACTTTCGCCGACGTATTTTTGCGACGTATATACATATATGTACATAATATCAGTGCCGAGTATCGTTACACAGTTTATTGCCGATGTTGCCGTATCAGCAGACACTGACCAAATAGTTGTTCCGATCATGTCCCGCTGTCCCCGGAGACGCGTCGATACGAGCTTCCAATTGAGCATTATTTTACGATTAACTCAGTCGTGTTGAACCGAAGATATTGATTTTAAATATGCGTCACTTTCGCGCGAGCCGTTTGCGTTGCTCCCTGATTGGGTACCGGAAGCGGACAGAAAGCCCGCCAAATTTTCAACAGAATCAGACGCCGACTCGACTCGATCGATGTCACGGGGGTTTCACACGTACAGGGTGGTGTCAAGAGCTTGCCAAGATTTTTCGTTCTTCCTGTTTTAACCCCGGAAGTGACGCGGTTACGCGTGCACGGGTCACTTCTTAAGCTCTGTGCAGAGTATCCAATCAATGGATACCTTTCGATTTGTACATAAAACTGCTTTTGTAAGTTTCGTTCATTTTTCCTTTGGATGTTCTTGACCAGCTCCGGACGTTATCTTGATTGAAAGAGAAAAAAGTGACAAAAAGAAATTTTAATCGTAGACCACAATTTCGCAAACAATATTTCGACAACCAGACGGAAGCGCAGGGTAACTAACACATCAGGGATAGCCACAGACAAATCTACGATAGAGAAAAAAAAGAGCTAACGTATTAAACTTGTAAAGGTAAAAAGATGAACAAAAAAAGAAAAAAGAAAAAAATTAACGTAAAGCTATAATAACATTTACGATGATTATTTCGTTAATGAAAGAGAAAGAAACACAAGAGTGGCGAGGATACCGACACGAAAGGAACGGTTAATTCCGGTTTATGTCATAACCTTGCTGCAGTTAGCGAGAGCGAGATTAAAGTATATTATTTAAAGAAATAATTAGAGTGTAATGGGTACTTGAAGAGAGAGAGAGAGAATGTGTGGGTACGAACAAGGGGTTTAAGTAAATATTAGAGAGACCACAGGCTTTCAGCCCCAAAATAGCCTGTACAATACAAACTGATATTATTGATTATTAATATTATATATATATAAATATATATATAAATATTATATATACAGGGTGTTTCAAAAGAGTTTATAACTGCTTCGATGGGTTGTACCACGTGTTCAGTATCGTCTTATTTATTTTTTTTTAATTTGTTTCATGTAAAACTTGACAATAGCTTCTGTAGAAACTAGCTGGCATCTTTTTCGTATGTCTCGTATTCCAATGGCGTTTTGAGGTTATCTCTATTTTTCAATTAATTCCATAAATTGGTTACCATTCTACGAAATCGGTAAATAATTTACTTTGCAATGTTCAACAGCTTGGTTTATGTGTTTGAGTGGTATTTTGAGATTAGCTTTTCTTTTATAGGTTCCGATAATTTCCCAAGGAAATTTCTGAATTTCATGTGTGTTCCAGGAAAATTTGCAACTGTTTCATAATTTCATGAAGTAACATGAAATTGCGTAACTTTGCAAATAGTTACATCAGCAGTAAAGCATGTGTAACACTTGAAGCTCCAGCTGTGTAATATTACACACTGCATAAAAACAGCGACCTTGGAACTAAAAGTATTCAACTAAAATTTGAACTTCTAAGATTTTCCTGAATCACGAAACGCAATAATTAAATTAAATATGTACTTGTTTTTACAGAGAATCTCTGTATTTAACCGATCTAACGCCATTAGAATATTTTCGCGAACTTACTTTTGTAAGTTTATCACGTTGATTTAAATTGAAACGATTTATTTTGTCACGATTAATCGATCAAGAATCCGAGCTGTCCAACGCGGTACAATCGCATCGAGAATGGTTTTAACAATTTTTTATCCACTCTGTTGACGAGAAGGGGAGCGAGATAATCTAGAGAATGAGTGCAAAGTGCGAATGGCGGCGAGAATGTGGGGGAAAAAATATCAAACGTTTTTCCCTAAACCAGATTAAAAAAAAAATGTATGCGTGAATGGGTATGCGTGCATGGACGATGAGAACGATCGCGAGAAAGAGACTACGTAATAGACATAATGTGATAGGCACCATGTGCAGACTTCAGTATTATTTTGCAGTTAACAAACGGGGTAAAAAACAAACAAACAAACAAAAAATGAAGTGGATCTGTACGTCAGTTAGAAAACTTACGCCTGTTTCGTTGTTCGTGAGCCATTATTTTAGGAGAAACGACTTCTGGACCCACACCCCTGATCGCGACACACTCGACCAATCCACTCGGGGTCATTTACGAGCCGCGAGCATTTTTTCGGCTCATTGGACACACGGGATACGCGACGAACGATCACCGGAAGTATGATTGGCCGCGCGAAAGAGTGAGACTCAGATTGCTGTGTGAAAGAACAAGAACACACATACACACACGTACTCGCATACTCACACATGCACACTGAGATTAATTATCATTGCCACATAGGTTGTAGGTAGAAAGAGGGAAACGATGGAAAGAGGTGCGCGTCGATTGGTCACTTTATTACCACTAAATGCATACGCGTGGTTTGCTCCGGATATAACTAGATCTTTATAAAATATTTTTATCGAGCATTGATATATCAAAGTCACGGGTACGTGATATTAACCATGTGTTAATAAAATTAGAAGGAATAGGTTATGTTTGCATATCAAGAAATAATACTCATCTGGTAATAATACTCATTTCTTACATTTTGTGTATTTGTGTTTTGTGTCGGAACAGCACTACATAGTAAAATATTACCGTTACTAGGGATTTTTTCTTGGGGTCTCAAATTCTCTGTTATTTGTAATAAATAACACACTTATTTTCATGTTGCCCTCTGTGACATTTTTTCTACTTAATCAAAAAATTAGATTTATTAGAAATAACATATTTTCATTTTGAACCATATGGTATTTCTACTATTTTTATTGTAGAATGATATGTTGTAAATTGAGAACCATACTAGGATTTCCTTGGGAAAATGGCGATGTAGAAGAAGGCTCCGTTCATACTACATCATGTATACTTGAAAGTTACCATTATGCTTGCAATTACCTTTTTAGAGACATTTTCCAATTTCACAAGCAATCAAATATTTTCTTTTGTGACTGTACACAGATGAATGTTAAAGAAAAGAAAGAAAATGGCAATATAAGAGATGGAAACCTCAAAATAGGTACTAGATCACATTTTTCTCTAGAATTCACGTATAAACGTTTATCACAATTTAATACTCATTTCATTATTACTACTTTTGATTTACATACCAAATTCTAGTAATTAAATATTTAATATTTAAAAATTATATCGATTTCTTACAAATTAATTTGAAGGTATCAGAACATGTATGGTAACTGTTGAGGTGAGATGCTCCTTTTTCCCTAAGGAAAGTCTAGTGTCTTCTATGTTGCTCTACCATTTTCGAGACATCTACTTATTTATTGAGTTAACAAAAGTTAGTTATCTGCGTATAAAAATCTCGTCAGATTATATATATTAATTTTATGATCAAATAGATGGATACTTGTTTTGTCTATCAGTGCTACCAACCTTAGTTATATAATAAAAGATCTTATTATTTTTGGAACAAACCATGTACGCATATGATTGCACGTA